ATTGATTAACTCTTTTTGTTGAGATCATAACGATAAATGTATTAGAATTTTTATAATTATAAATTGAATGATAGGTATTTTTTGTTAGGATATATCTATCGTTACATAATATTAGTAATATCTATTAGTTATAGTTATATAGTGTATTAGTTACATGGGTATTAGTTACATAGTATCTATAGTATCAGTTATTACATATATATACTGTAGTATTAGTACGTACGTACGTTTTTATTGCAACAATCATGAAAATGTAAATTACGATTTTAGGCTTTTTATTGGCCGGAGATTCATATACTGATAGGGAAATTATGCATAATGCAGTATTGTCCAAATATGTCACACAAGCAGATTCGTTTGTTCCAGATTCCCATGCACATATTCTCGAAATTTTTAGTTTCTTCGATATAATCTTTTTCTGAAAATCAATAAAAATAAACAAATATTTACTCGCAGTTATCTAAATAATCTAAAGACAATAACAGATAAAGTATTTTATGTTTATGGTGCATGCCGAGTATGCCGAGAATTTTTTTTTGCGACATTTTTTCCTTATCACTTGAAATCTACAGATTAAAAAAATCAAAGTACGAACGTGTATGAACAATCACCCTTTGTGCTGATAAGGTTTGTTAAGTTATATTCACGTTAGCTTTTAGATTGGCGTAAGAGGTGATGCATATATGATTAATTATTGCTATCAAGACGTGATTATAATTATATAAATTTTAACACGGTACACCACGTGATATTTTAGAGTAAATTGGTTCTAAAGACAAATAATACAATATTGTGTTATTTATATATCTTCATCAAGTCACTAAACTAGACTAAACGAGAACATATAACCAAAAGTACTGTATAACAAATAACAAAATATAACAAAAAGTATAACCCAAAAGTATATCAACAGTATATCAAAAAGTATATCAAAAGTATAATAAAAGTGTAGCTAAAAGTATAGCTAAAAGTATAGCTAAAAGATAACGAAAATCGATTAATTATTAGTTTATGTTTGAAATCATTTAAAAAATGCCATCATTCATAAAAGATTCATAAGAACATACGATAAACTTTTATATATCATATTCAAAAGCCTATTTATAGAATTATTAATCTACTAACCTGTTATGGTAATGATAATTATTATAACGTATTGTATGCCTTATATATAACTTTTGTGTAATAGTAATGACGTAATACTGCGGAAAACCCAAAAGGATCGGTGAAACCTAAAAAAAGAAAGAAAACATATGTATCATGAGTTAAAACGACTTCCTTTTTTTAGAACAGCTCATTGTCAAATATTTGATTTTTTTTCCCACAAAGCCTTCATCCACTTTGTTTTTCCTGTTCTTGTAAATGATTTCCTGTTTATTTTTTTGAATTTTTTTTTCGCGTTATCTTTTTTTTTTTCTTTTTTTATTAGATTAAAGTGTTTTGATCTATATAAAAGTTTTACTGTTTCTTTTTTTTTTTTTTTTTTTTTTTTTTTGAACATTTTGAATACATCACAAAAGATTTTTGACATGATGATTTATGAAGATCAAGGAATGGTTATGAAACTTCCGGATCAATATTCCGGTAAAAGCTTTGGACCGATAGTGAATTTTGTAATTACACGTGTTACTTCAAAATCTAACAATATGTATCGTTTATAAATTCAGAACAGAATAATTTTATTCATCGAGACGCATATAACAAAATCAATTTTACTGAGTGGGTAAGTAATTTGATCAATCGATAAATGATCTATCCATTTTTATAATGTTGATTCAGCAAAATTTTATCATTAAATCAGGGTGAAGAGGATGGTGATTTTGAGCTTGAAGAAGAATTTCATCAATCAAATCAGATCCAAGTTATTCAAGATAATAATACACAACAAGAATTGAGCAGTGGTGCTGATCAACAAGATGTCGAAAAAACTGTTAATCCTGATCAAATCCATCTTACCCAAACTAACGATGAACAAGTGGATGAAGTTACGATAGATGATGATACTCACTTCCCACCGAGAGATAATGAAATGAAATCGATTCTTGAAGAAATTGAAAAGCTAGAACAAAGTGAATCTGTCCAGGTCAATGAGATACCAGTTCAGTCTGTTTTAATAGATAGAAATGATGTTTCAACGTTAGAAAGTGAGATAACTAAATCTCAACAGTCCGAGAAAGGAAGAAAGAAAGTTTCGAAAAAATCGACCGCACGAAGAAAATCTAAAGCTGACACCGATTCCGTACAACCTGTCGAAAATGTCGAAAATGTCGAAAATGTTGAAAATGTTGAAAATAATTTATATTCCGAAGATGGCAATGATTCGGGTGATGATAATTTGAAAAGAGGTATTATTTATTCAATTTATAAATTTTTTTTTTCTCTTTTTTTCTCTTTTTTTCTCTTTTTTCTTGTTTTCATTCTTGATCACTCACGTGTTCTTACCTTCTCTCAGAAAACTCCGAAATGTCCGCTTCTATAACTAAATCTGGCCGTAAAATTCATAAACCTATTTTTTTCAATCCTTCTTCGTATATCGAACCCAAAAAAAAACTTACCGATGCAAAAGATCCATCTTCTGAACCTAATAAAGCCCCTTCTGATTCAAAAAAGTCCTCTTCTAAAAGATCTTTGGGTATGTTGTTTCACATGTTCGCGTTTTATGTAATTTATTACCAACATTTAAATCTTATCGTTTAAATTACAGAAAAACGTAATCCGAAATCTGCAAAGATCCAGTCTAAATCTTATGACGTATTAATGGGCTCCGATAATAACGGTGAATCGCTTGATACTTCCCAGAATTGTCAGGATTCTCAACAAAATTTACCGTCCTGTGATTCTTCTAATTCGCCCTTCGACGCGATAGATCCTGAACTTGACAGTATTGTGTGTGAAATTTGTCACGAAGGTTTGTCCAAGAAAGGAAATTGGATCATTTTGTGTGATCGATGTGACACTCCTTATCATCAATTATGTCATATGCCGACGATCGATGATGATTTTGCTGATTCCGATAAGGAATGGATTTGTATGGGTTGTACAAATTCGCGTACAAAAAAACGTCAAAAAATGAATAATCCTGAGATGATTGATACTTCAGCAAAAATATTAACCAGCGATCAACAAATCATTACGCCTAATACCGATATTTCAACCGCCGAATTGGATATTCAAGCTTCAAATCTTACTAAAGACCAAATGGATTTACCTATTTCTGCATTATTGACCAGAGAACAAGTATTATCATTTTATTATTATTCTTCTATTCCTGATCTTATATATAAATATATATATTTTAACACATATTCATATGTACCTATATGTATCTATCTATATACATTTATGGTTATTATAGAAAGTGGAATATTTATCTTCTTTGCCACAATCCGTTTTAGTAGATCTCATACTTTTGGCTGAACATATGCAACCAGGTCTCCCATTGTATCCGGCGAATGTTTTACAAAAATATTTTCACATGAATGATTCAAAGCAAGATGAATTTCAAACAAAACCGGAATTGGCAACTCCCTCAACCGAAATGGATATTATGGAATTGTCGATACCGACCAACAATGATACTGAACGATCTTCTCAATTCAAAGAAACTCCTGAAATAATGTCCCCAGTTTCTATTGATGTTAGCATGAATGCTGATGAATTTCTCATTTATTCAAATATGATAATAAAAGCCATCTCTGCAATTTCTCAGCCAAATGGCAATACCGCCCAAACGATTTACAATTGGATAAAAGGGTAAATAATATCAATGGTGTTGATAATTACACAATAATATCAATCAATTTATATCCGACATATCACGTGACTCACCTATTTTATATGATGTATACTCATCAATCATTAGAAATTATTCTGTGCCTGTGAATTTTCAACATACTGCTAAAAAGTATCTTTCCGACATGCTTTCAAAAGGAATTTTAGTCAAAACTTCAAAAGCACACTATAAACTAAATCCCGCTTATAATCATGCACCTGTAAAAGTAAGTTTATTTGATATCTTTATAAAGAACCCCAAATTAATGAAATTTTAATAACCTTTTTATCTTATTAAAAAAAAAAATTATAGCTAAACTGTGATGATTTATTCAAACCTTTAACCACTAAAATTTTACAAAGTCCGAGTCATAATGGTCAATCCCCTCGAAAAAGCTTAAATAAACCAAATGATCCTGCGTTATTATTATCCCAAACCTCAAATGGTCAGGTAAATCAAGAATCTTTTCAACAATCCATAAGTTTTAATTGTCAATTAGATAAAGGATTGTCTCAACAGTCCATAAATTTCATCGGGCAAGCAAATCAAATATCATTCCATCAAAAAAATTTGATTGAAAAAACAAATCAAGTATCGCCACATCAATCAAAAGACTTAGCTTTGCAATCAGCTCAAGTATCAATCCAGCAATCTAAAAGTCCTTTACAACAACATATAAATCGGACATTATCTAATTTGCCGGATCATGCTTCGTCACATTCCCCATCTGGATCTCAAAATCCAAATTTGATACCAATTGACAATCAACTTAAGGATGCTAATATGATAAGTAGTGATCAATTAAACCAAAAATCTGCAAGATCTTTGGTGTCTGTAGCTTCTCTTATGAATAATGATCAAGCACGTTCAGGATTACGAATTCCACAATCATATCAATTGGATCGTTATATTAAGCAAAACAATATACAAGCACGTAGTGGTATTCGTCCTCCAAGTCAAGTTCCTACTGGTTTAAAGAAAAATAATAATCAATCACGTTCGGAAATTCCAAGATCCCATACTGCAGTTATGAATCATACATCCATAGATAATAGTGGAAAAGTTCCTAATGGAATTTCATCTTTAAATCAACGGTTATCTGCGGTAACAAATAATCATGATCAATCGAACATCGGCATTCCATCAATGAATTCTTTCTCGCCTCAACAGCAAAGATATGCGGCAATGAATAACAATAATCAATCGCCTATTGCTACACGACCTTTACTTCCAATACCTACGAATCAATCATTTCCCACTGGAAATACTGAACTTGGTCCTCAATCTATGCTTGTACCTCCGATGCAGCCTATACAACCAAATCCACAACAATCATGGCCTACTTCGTTCAATTCATTTTATATGATTCCTAATTCTAATGAAAGTAATCAATATGGATTAATGCAAACTTATTCTTACGGACCAAATCAAAATCAAATTAGTTTTGATGGTCATAATGCAATGCATAACTCTTTGATGAATGAAAATCCTAACAATCATAACGGCCAACCTAGAAATAGTCCTTCGACTCCTCATTTACAACCTATGGGGCAAATTGGTCAAATGGGACAATCTTTAAGTCAAAGATAAATCATTTTTATATATATTAGAATTATAATCGGCCTAACTAGTTTAATTGTACATTTTGATGCATTATATATTCAAATAAATTGCAAGATTTGGTGCAATTAGTTAGTAATTTTTTCTTGATTTTCTAAAATGTTGTAAATTTTAAATAAAAAATTAGTCAAAAATTTTTTAAAAAAAAGCTTTGACAAATCATGTATATATGCAAGTAAATAATTTTTTGTAGAAATAATACTTAGTACTAAGTATGTGCATACGTATAAAAGGATAAATTCAATTGTAAAATATTTTGTGCCTCGATATGGTCTAATTGAAATGTAAACAAAATTACTTGAGCTAAATAAAATATAAGGGGAGATACGTATTGAATTTAAAAAAATAAAAACTCTTAAACTTACCATGTATTATTTACTAAAAATTATTTAAATTCATTAAAATAAAAGTACAGTATTACTGTAATAATCTTAGATAAAAAAAAATTGCAGTTTGAAATGTTTAAAAATTTATACAAATACAGTATTGGTTTTATCAATCTTATAAATTGTTATAAATAATACTAAAATTTTGTAATACCTATTTAGATTTATAAATCCACTAAGGTTGATCTTTAGTATAGGTGGGCATATATAATTATTATACAATTATAATATATATAAATTAACTTTTTTGAACTAATTTAAGTAATTTTATAAATTATTAGGGTCAGGGTTAAGGTTAGAATTTAAATTAGCTCAAATTAGTTAGGTTTTATATAATATAATCTTATAATAATTTATATATGCCCACCTATACTAAAGAAGATCCCTTTACTTATAATTATTGTACCAATTTTATCAAAAAAGTTTTGTAAATAAAAAAATATTGAATTTTTATAAAAAAACATTTAAAAAATTTTATAAATTTGACTATTGTTTTTGTAATAATCTTATTGTATTAGTTGTCTATAAAGATATTAACTCTGAAAATTTTTCAGATAAACACATTATATAGGATTTAATAAATATAGACTCATCTCTCTTTAACACTTGCTTCAATGCAAGCATCATTTCATCAATAATTCTTGGACAGTAAAAAAGAAATTCAATAGTTTTACGTTGATGCATTTGCGATAATAATATAAATGGCCCATATAAAGGTTCTAAATTAAAATTATTATTAAAAATCAAATCATTTTAAAACTCATTTTCATATAATACCTTTATCTCGTGAATCCGTGTAAAAAAATGGCACAAGTGATACTTGAAGTTGTTCTAAAATCTATTTTTGCATAAAGTAATTTTATGAATTAAAATAACCAATTAGTTGTTATATAGATTTTTTTTAATTACCTCTTCTCCAAAAATGCTTTTATTTCCACGTTTTGCAATATCACATAAAACAGTCAAAATATTCTAAACATTCCACACACTGGTTAAAAACCATTGTCACGTCAAAATCATAAATGTTAATTATTTATACTACCTGACTTGTTTCAAAACTATCCGTTTTTAACTCGTATAATAATTTCGGCAACATTAATACCCAACTTTGAAGCGACTTGACTAAAGAAGATTCTTTTTGCATGCAGAAAGAATCTTTATAATTTGAAAAGCTTTGAACCTTTTAAAGTATCAATAAATTAAAATGTGGCATACAGGGTGTATAAAATTATAAATATTTATGTATTAAATTTATACCATTAAAATTTTAGAAATAAATTCTATACAAATTCGTTTTGCTGTTGATTGAGTGCGGCATCGTTTTGAATAATCTAATATTGTCTGTAAATTGATTTTTCAAAACAAATTAATGTTGCAAAGACAATTATTAAATAAATGTCGGGGATGATGCTGAAACAAGATGATGCTGAAACGTGGGAGTCTCAATTTAGAAATATAAACCCTACTAGAATCCACCTATACTTTTTTATTATAAACACTAGCCCTAAACCCTAACTTAACTACAAAAAAAAAGCTAAAAAAGCATTCCCCCAAAAATTTAAAATTTCATATTAAAATAAGTCAATGTTTCAGCATCATCCCCGACAATAAATAAGCACGAACCTGAAAAATAGATTCTTGTAATTCCTTATTAGAATAATTTAATAATCCCCATAATGTAGGTATCAAATTTTTCAAATTTTCTGGTTTAAATCTAACCCTCAACAATCTATTATTATCTTCAATTGACTTGCATAAACATTAAAAATTAATAAAATAATTTTAAATAATAGATCATATAGATGAAAATATAATATTACATCAGATCCCAAAATCCCCATAACATATTCAGCAATTTGCTCTGTCCACAAAGAATGTAGTTCATGAGTTTCTGATTTAGATGGTTTTTTTTGCTTTTTAAATAATCCAGTCTCTGTATTGTTTGATATGCCTTTTTTATTCATAGCGATTTCCATTGAATTTATTGAATTTGAAGATTTTGCTGCGGTCAAAAATAATATCACCAATTCACATAACATGATATTCATTTCTTGTATGATAGGCTCAACCTATCAATTTCAACAGTTCAACAAAAATACTCTAATAAAATTCTTTTGAAGAATGTTAAAATGGGTATAGCCAGACAAACCTTTAAGTCACATACATCTGCAGACTCTGCACCAAACGGAAAGTATATTACAAAATGTTTAAGCAGTGGCTTTAAGTTGTTCTCTATCCACTGTTTATCCATAATATCCTACTTGTCATTTATATTAAAATATTCTAATAAATGAATTTCCCAGTCATATGTAATTCTTGACAGTTTGTATATGCCATTAACAATAAAATTTAAGAACCTGTTTTATGAATATGATGCGTGAAATTGCTCTCCATAATACAATCATTATTTTCATTACAAGATAAACTATTTGAAGTGCAGGTGTTACACGAGTTAAAGACGAAATTGTTCCAAATACTGAAGGTGCAGTATCTAGCCATAATGATAGGAGTATAGGATGTAAGGAATTTAAAAGATCCTTAACAAATCGAAGATTTGAGAGATGTATTAGAATTTGCAAATTAAAAAAGCAAACATAAAACAAATATCACCTTTGCATCAGACACACGTCCTTGCACTGTCGAATAATCATGGCCATTTTTTTCTTTACGCGTATCATGTTGTGATGTTTCCATGCCAATACTAATTCGAACTACGTCTTGTTCTTTCGTAGGTACTGATGCAGCGCAGTTGAAAATATTTGGTTGTGCGGAATGATACGTTACCGAAGGCGAGAACAAAGAAGGTAAGATCGTTGAAGTCAATGGATGGAGAGGTACAACTCCAACCTAAACAAGCTAGTAATTAGCATGTAAGAATCGAGTGTGCAAGAAATAAATATATTTAAACAAACCATTTCATGAGTATCTGTTAAATTTATAGAAACATGTTGCTTGGACAAGTGCGTTGGCTGCTTCGAATGTTCAGCGGACAAAAAATTCATGAAAGACAAATATCTATAATTTATATATTATAGAATTTCGAGAAAAAAATTATGTCTTTATTATCAATTTTATTATTGATTATTAACTTACGTGTCTTCATTCTCATCGAAGGTAAATCCGTATTTTAAAAGTTTATGAAAACTTGATAGTATTTCAATTTTTATCTGTGTAACATATTAGTAGACTAAATTATATAACCATAGGCAAAAAAATATAGTAATTCAAAAATCATAATATATATTTCTTACTTCCTGTGGCCAAAATTGATTCTTATCAACAGAAGTCCTGATAATATTAGAAGCTAATGCGTATTAAAAATAGATCCAAGATAAATAAAGACATTAGCAACGAAGGTATTTTAATAAGTAAAATTCACTAAAATTTCTCACCTGAACTACTGATACTAATACTAGTGTCTGTAGTTAGTAATCTAATGTAGTTTGGCACAATCTGATAATGCAATATTATAAGTGATACATTACTATAGAATCTTTAAAGAATAACGAAACTTACCCGCTGCCAAAACTCATTCACCACGACATCCGGTGCAATATCAAGCCATAATTCCATGAATTTAATAGAATCTGTCCGTATATCATCATGTATATGTGTCATTGCTGAGCACGTATATATTATCAGAAGGGAGAGAAACGGCCGTAATTCAAACTATAAATATAATACCTTACATTAGTGACATATTCTGTTTACTAAACAAACATTGGACTCGTACCTTTTGCACGTTTAGGAAGAATTCCGTAAAGAAAGTTAGCAATGATCTTCGAACACCTCTGTCCTGTTATAATATTATATAGGGAATAAGAATGTAATGATATGTGACAAAATATTCATTCTCAATAAGAATGCCTTACATCATCAACAAGTAGACGTGAAAGAGGATTCACAATTGTTGATAAGGACTGAGATAAAATAGAAGGATGTTTACGGAAGTAATCCTTAAGACCTTGAATAGAGTCTGGAAATTTTAAAGATTTCAATAAGTTAAAATTTACATGTCGTTTCATTATACACTCATTAAGGTAGTATACGTGCCTTTTCTTGTTACAGGGCTGTAATGCTTCAGTTGCGTCACAAGATCATTTAGCGATAAATTTCGAGTATTGGTTATTTCGTCCGATTTATCTTTGGCAATACTCTGTTCAGGTAAAGAGATTGCTAGAGACATTGTTAGCTAATTTCAGTACAATACTAATAAATAACCGTGAACTACATGAACTAGTAAAGAAGCACCTCTAGATCTGAATGTTGTATCAGTGAAATTATTAGCTTGAGGTTTCTTTTTTCCAATTTTGAGCTTTGGTTTCTGTAATATACAGTTAATTAAAAGTGCATTTGCGGTTCATATATTAACTGAATTAACTGTAATTTTAATTTCACCTTAAAATCTTCTTGTTGTGCTTTTTTCTTTCGACGACTTTTTTTGGGCATTTTTATAACGATATGTGGGAATCGTGAGGATTATCACTATAAGATCTGACAAAAAAAATTGCTGTGTTATCATAAAATTTTTTAATCACCTAGAAAAAAAAGCTGCGTCGAATCATGTGATTGTAGATGTTCAGT